TCTCCTGTAAGGATTGGCTTGTCACTCTTTTTCTTCTAATGCCATTGTGTGGTTTTGGTGTGAAGCTACATCTAAATATCTAAAATAGGTCAGATCATATTTCTACTTTCCCCTCAAGACTTTGCATGCGTTAAAAACACATATATTGCTTAAATATTGAGTACAATTCACCTTTGCAAGTACTCATGCTGGATTTTTTGTTCTTTTTTAAAAAAATTGATTTAGAGCATGCAAGTGCGGTCTTGTTACACCGATATATTGCATAGTGGTAAAGTCTGAGTTTTTATAACTTACCAATCACTCAAATAATGAACACTATGCCCAATAGGTAACTTTCCAATCCCCTCTTCCACACCAACTTCCCCACTTTTGGAGTCTCCAATGTCTATTATTCTCTTCTGTATGCTGGATATTTTCTTTATGGAAATATTTTCTCATCCCTGATTCAGTTTCTATAGTATTGTAGGATAATTTGGGTTTTACATTTCTTCCTGAATCAGTTCCATACAATTTAACTCATTTAAAAATATTTTCATACCAGGCATGATGGTGAGTGTCTGTAATGCCAGCTACTTAAGAGGCTGAGCCCTTGAGTTCACTTGAATTCGGGGGTTTAGGCTGTAGTGCGCCATGATCACTCCTGTGAAAAGCCACTTTGCACTGTAGCCTGGGCAACATAGCAACAACTATGTTGCTAAAAAAATAAAAATGAGCCAACAAAACTGTTTAAAAGTATTTCTATTTCATATAAGTCTGCTATTCACTAATATATAATAATAGTTTCAGAATGTTTTAATCTTTTAAAAATGTATGTGACATTATAATATAATTTTGTGACATGACATTATGTAGATAATAATATATAAATTATATTATTATAAATATAATTTATATCATTAATAAATATGTTACACATATAATTTTCAAATATTTTCTCCCATTCATCATGGATTGTCTTTTTGATAGTGTACTTTTATTATGGTAGGAAAATGATGTGGCATTAAATTAACCATCTGAACCATTTTTAAGAGTACAGTACAGTAATGTTAAGTATATTTGTATCATTGAACAACAGATCTCTGGCAAGTTTTCATCTTGCAACACTGAAACTCTGTTCCCATCAAACACCAATTTCCTGACTCTCATCCCCTCAGAACTTGGTAACCACCTTTCCACTTCCTATTTCTGTGATCTTGACTACTCTAGATACTTCATGTAAAGGGAATTACACAGTATTTGGCCTTTTGTGTTGTAGCTGGCTTATTTTGTTTAGTATAAAGTTTTTGAGCTTCCTCTATGTTGTAATATGTGACATAATTTCCTCCTCTTTCTCACTTACTTGCTCTCATTCTGTCACTGTAGGACTGAAGGGTACAATACTTACTCAAAACACTACAATGTACTAAAATGTTCCTAACAACATTCCTAAAATTTCCAGATTCACTGAAAATATATAAAGATACAACAAGATGATACAACATTTCCCTGTCACATTTCCCTGTCAATAAGAAAGACGAACAAGAAACAACAGATGATAACTTAGCCAACTGTGGTACACCTGCATTATAAATGTGGCCAGTTGTTCAGTCTGCAATAAATCTTCACTGTCTTATGGCATAGTCTTGATAGTTCCACAGTTTTGGGTCTATCACTTGCAGTACATTGATTTTAGGGATCAAATTTTGAATGGTTTGGTCACAACTGGCAAAAACTCAATCCTTAGGAGTAGGGCACTCAGGGAGAATTTTGAGGGCTGAGAATTCTGTGAGAGTTTCCTCAAGCAAAATACAGGCGTCCAGGCTGACTAACAGTCAAAGGGCTCCAGGCCTTTCCCTGGGGTCGCTAACCTCTACTTCCCTCTGCTCATTGGCTGTGTTCTCTCTGAAGTAAAAGAGTTTTCCATCCTTTGAGGGGGAAATACTTCCAGCCATAGATTTGATATTAATACGTCACAAATGAATGCTGCCATCAAAGAGAAATTGACTGACTCTAAGCTTTGTTTTAAAAAGTAGAGGGAAGGAATCTGACGTGACTGGCTTAGGTAAGCTGACTCTCCCTGCGTGACTGGCTTAGGTAAGCTGACTCTCCCTGCGTGACTGGCTTAGGTAAGCTGACTCTCCCTGCGTGACTGGCTTAGGTAAGCTGACTCTCCCTGCGGAAGGTCCCTGCACCCAGCAGAGACATATGCTCACCTTGACCTGGTGCCTGCCTAGAATCATGTAACTATTACCAGGAAGTGGCTCATGGGTAAGGTTAACATAGCATCATTTTCCTTCTGAGATACTCTGGAAAATGAAAGGGTATATACTGTTAACGGTTACAGTAGGATAACAGATATATCTAATGAACTATGCTGATGGTGTTGGAGGAAGGATCTAAGACCTTGGAACAACATGGGGCATCCTTCATCTCACCCTCAACCAATTACTAGAAAAACCATGTACCGAATTTCCCTGTCAATAAGAAAACCGCATTAATACCATTATAAATTTCTGCTAGTTAAATGGAATTCTATAGGCTTGCTTTTGGTGTCTTATGATGCTATTTAATGTAATTCCAGTGCTAAAAATTAAAAATGCAAACTTCATTATAAACAAAAGGGACAGTTTTTTTTTTTAGTTAACTCTAATTCTTAATGTCTGTGATGATTGTTTCTTTTCTTTTCTTTTTCTTTTCATTTTTGAGACAGAATCTCTCTCTGTCTCCCCCACTGGAGTGCAATGATGCGATCTTGGCTCACTGCAACCTCCACCTCCTGGGTTCAAGCGATTCTCCTGCCTCAGCCTCCCAAGTAGCTGGGATTATGGGCACCTGCCACCATGCCTGGCTAATTTTGTATTTTTAGTAGAGATGGGATTTCACCATGCTGGTCAGGCTGATCTCAAACTCTTGACTTCAGGTGATCTGCCTGCCTTGGCTTCCCAAAGTGCTGGGATTACAGATGTGAGCTACTGAGCCCGGCTGACTCTTTTTTTTTTTTTTAAGCTTTCCTCCCCAGACATTAACATTTTGTTTTGTTTTGTTTTGAGACAGGGTCATGGTATTTTGACCAGGCTGGTCTCAAGTTCTTGGCCTTATGGGATCCTCCTGTCTTGGCCTCCCAGTGTGCTGGGATTACAGGTGTGAGCCACCACACCCAGCCTCCAGGTCTATTTATGTCACGTTTTATCCACTGGGACTGAGCTACTTAGATTGCATTGCATTTGTTCAACAAGCACATTGAATAGTAGCTATGGGGCAATGATAATACCCATGCCTGGATTCAAAATAAAAATAGCATTTCTTTCTATTACCACTTGCATAGTCAACCAACCAAGAGCAAAGTCTGAAGAAGAGCCGCTGAAGTGGCATAGTACCCTGGCTGTACCAGCTCGCCACAGAAAGATCAGCGATTGTTCCTCATGAGTCAGGCTATCACTGCCATCATTTGATCACTGAAGTTCCATATCTACCTTTGTGGCAGACTACAGATTGCCTTTTGCCAGAGGAACTAATTTTACGTAGTTGAAAACATAGCAATGGGCTCACACCATGGAATTCACCAGCACTGCCCCATCATCCGGTAGCAGGCAGTGTGGCAGAAAGGGGGAATGGCGAGCCGAAGGCTGGGGCACATCCCGCAGTGATGCTTGGATGATGTACGTGATAGAGTAGATGCTTTAAACTAGAGACCAATACATGGTGGCATTTCCCCTGAGTCAGACTACCCAAATTTAGAAAGCAATGTAGAGTGTGGGGCGGCCTCTCTCAATGTTACACTTATTGATCCATGAATAGAGAACAAGTGTCTCAATATTGATCCATGTGTAGAGAACCAGACACAGTACAGGTCAGAGGGCTGGATGCTGACTGCCAAAGGGAAACAGTGGAAACGAGGGAGTCTAAGCCTGGGACCAGGAGACTGACTGTTCCACTAAACACTTAGTACTTGGTGGTTTATTCTTATTTTATTTATTTATTTATTTATTTAAATTCATTTATTTATTTTTTGAGATGGGGTCTGGCTCTGTTGCCCAGGATGGAGTGCAGTGGCATGATCTTTGTTCACTGCAACCTCCACTCCAGGGCTCAAACCATTCTCTCATCTCACCTTCCAGAGAAGCTGGGGCTACAGGCACGTGCCACCACGTCCTGCTAATTTTTGTAATTTTGGTAGAGACCAGTTTTTGCTCTGTTGCTCAGGCTGGTATGTATGTATGTATGTATGATGTATATATGTATGTATGTATGTATGTATGTATGTGAGACAGTCTCGCTCTGTCTCTCAGATTGAGTGCAGTGGTGCAATCTCAGCTCACTGTAACCTCCCTTTCCCAGGTTCCAACAATCCTCCCACCTTGGCCTCCTGAGTAGCTGGGACCACAGGCTTGTGCCCAGCTAATTTTTGTATTTTCGTAGAGACTGAGGTCTTCCTATGTTGCCCAGGCTGATTTCAAATTCCTGAGCTCAAGTGATCTCCCTGCCTCGGCCTCCCAAACTGCTGGGATCACAGGTGTCAGCCACTTCACCCAGCCAAAACTACTAACTTTCCAGCTAAGAAAATGTGTATGTTTTACAAAAATATGATGTTCTTAACACATTACTTTTAGAACTTCCAAATTGAGCTGTTTCTTTCAGAGAAACAATAGAGTTAACAGATAGCACCCCAAATAGTAAATTATAAACTGCATTAACGAGCTATCTGCCATCAGCAGTAAGTGGAACATAAATTGTTTTTCTTTTTTTTGCGTGAAGTTAACTAGTTCCCTTTGGGATCAACTCAAAATTTTGCCTCTGCTAATAGACTTTACTCAACTCACTGAAGCCTCTACTCTCGATTTATAATGACTGGAAAATAATTTTACCCTCCATTTCAATCCCCTAAATGTAATATAAAGTTGGGATAAATAAGGAAAGGCATAAAGAGAATGTGGACAACTTCTATACTAAAATTAATCATGCAAAATCAGGGAACAGGTTGTGCATGTTAATAGCTATAGCTGTCTCATTCTTCTTAACAGAACTTCCATGGAGCTGAGGAGCACACTGCCAAGAAAAGATGATGAGCTCCAGGGGCTGACCAGCGGCTGTGCTTCCCATGCGTCTCCTTTAGAGGTGAAGATTTGATAGTTTCACCCTTTCCAGGAAAATTCACTTATCAGGTGCCAGCACTGACTGTGGATGAACAGGTTTCCTACATCCAAAGACTGGGCAAGTATGTCAGCTGCTCTCCTCTCCCTAAACTCACTCCCTTCCCTGTCGCAGAACTGAGATTCACACACACTCTCTCTCTCTGTCTTTCTGTTTCTCTCTGTGTGTCTCCCACTCTCTTTCTGTTTCTCTCTCTCCACCCCCACTACCTTGTTGCTGTGTCATGTGGCCTGCTGGCTCAGTAATTCCGTCTGTGCAGACAGGAGAGAAAGCTAAGTAGAGAGTCAGAGCAAGATCTAGAAGAATCCTTTACATAGATGCCAATAAGAAAGTGACCCCCAGACAGGACATTTTAAAGCAGAAAAAAGAGAAAGCACTGGAAATGTGAGAGCGTGGAGAAAGGAAAGGGGTAGGGTACAGGGAGTTTCACTGAGTCTATGTGACCCCCAGGCTCTGTGTTTTACATGTTATATTCCCCTGTGTCTAAAAATGTTCTCCTAAGCATCGGTTTTGTTTTGTTTTTGCTTAATGTTGTGTCGTTTTGTTCGTCGCAGCTGACATTTGATAATGTGTGTTGTGTAAGACAGTCTGCACTTTGTACAACTAACCCACATCTTCCATTTCAGCACAGGCTGGCACGTTTCGCTCCGATTTTGTGGAGTACAGGAAGCATATCGCTGTAGATGTACATGTATGAGTCATAAGCCCATAAAAGCAGTTTCACACTGTGCTTAAAATGGTCAAAAAGCTTGGTTTTGGGACCAATATGTTATCTTCTCTAAGACCACTACTAGACATTTGGACTCTCAAACGTTTAGAGGATTAACCATATTATTTTTACTAATATTGAGGGAGTTAAAATAGTCTAAGCAATTAAATTAGGTGTATTATTCCGATATGAGATGATAATTTATACTCCTTAGGAATCAGAAAGGAAAAAAAAAATCAACCTCTTTTCTCACTAAATGGAAACTAGTATCATTTCTGACTTTTAATGTAGTAGGAGAAGAATGGAATGATTTTCAACCTGCACATTTTCTGCTCATGATGTTAGAAAAGTCATTTTCTTTGATAGGACCTGTAGCTCTTTTTTAAGAAATGGATAATAGCATTTGATTAGCCAAATATAGAGGAGTGCTCTGTAGTACATGCGATATAATGGTGAAATTCTCACCTTTAAACAAAAAGCTCTTTTGTAATTTATCAAAAATAAGTAACCATATGATGAGAACTATGATTTGAAGTTGTTCTTCATGTCCACTGAAATTTCACAAATAATTTTTATTCCAATTTAAGATACATTTATCATCAGCATTAAAGTTGCTGTGAAAGAGAATTGATTTGACCTCAGAATTTTTATATAAGACCATTTTTATTTTCTCCTTGCTCCCATTTGAACAGGCATATTTCGCTGGCCAAAATGGGACATAAGAATTCCAGCACCATCACTGAGCTGGTCCTTGTGGGATTTTCCAATCATCCCCAAAGTGAGACACCCCTCTTCTTCCTGTTCTCTCTGGCCTACTTAGCAAATTGTTTTGGAAACACAGCTGTCATCACTTTTGTAGTTCTGCATTCCCCTCTCCAGACACCCATGTATATCTTCCTTTGTCACCTGGCCTTTCTCAACATATTTTTTAGCACAATCGTGGTCCCCAAGATGCTCCATAACTTCCTTGCAACCAGGAAAGTCATCTCTTACAACTTCTGCCTCACTCAGACCTACATCACCTTATTCCTGGAGGTGACTGAGTGCTTTCTTCTTGCAGTGATGGCACTGGACCGCTATGTGGCCATTTGTTTCCCGCTGAGATATCTGCTCATCATGAACACGTCTGTGTGTGTGGCGCTGGCTCTGGGAGCCTGGACCACAGGCTTTTTTGCTTCAGTGGTTCCTCTGTTCTTCACAGTCCTCCCACTCTGTGGTCCTTATGTTGTTGACTATATTTTCTGTGAACTGCCCATCCTTCTTCACATGTTCTGTGCAGATACATCCCTGCAGGAGGCCATGATGCTTGCAGGAGGGGCTGGAACAGTGTTACTCCCCTTCCTCCTCATTATTCTCTCCTACCTGCGCATCCTGGTGGCTGTGATGAGAATAGACTCAGTTGAGGGCAGGACAAAAGCCTTTTCAACCTGCACTTCCCTTCTGACTGTGGTGACCATATATTATGGAACAGGATTAATCAGATACATGAGGCCCAAGTCCCTTTACTCAGCAGAGGGAGACAAACTGATCTCCTTGTTCTATGCGGTCATCAACGCTCTGCTGAATCCTTTCATTTACAGCCTGAAGAACATGGAAGTGAAGCAGGCTATGGGAAGAGTTACAGGAAAATACAAAAATAAAATTAAATCACATACTAGGATGTGTAGAAGTTAAAGACAAGTTTGTATTTTTAGCATAGTCACATCCAAATTCTATGAAACTAACCTCCATCACAAGAAATCCCACTTAGGCAAACTTGCAGAATAAGATGGTCATTCAGTTTTTACAAATCCCCCCCAAGTGTTTTCAAGTCAGATTTCTCCTCTCTGTGAATACACATTTATTGATAGTCCTTTGTTAAGTGTTAAAATATTGCTATGTCTGGGGCAGGCATGGTGGCTTATGCCTGTAATTCCAGCACTTTGGGAGGCCATGGTGGGCAGATCTCCTGAGGTCAGGAGTTCAAGACCAGCCTGGCCAACATGGTGAAACCCTATCTCTACTAAAAATACAAAAAAATAGCCGGGTGTGGTGGTGGGTGCCTGTAGTCCCAGCTACTCAGGAGGCTGAGGCAGGAGGATCACTTGAACTCGGGAGGCGGAGGTTGTAGTGAGCTGAGATCACGCCACTGTACTCCAGCCTGGGCGACAAGAGCAAGAGTCTGTCTCAAAAATAAATAAATATATATATACACCCACACACATACACATACACACACATATGGGTGTGTGTGTGTGTGTGTGTGTGTGTGTGTGTGTATATATATGTGTATATATATATATATATGCTATGTCTGCTCAATCAAGCATTGTGTTAACATAGCCACAAGCTTCCATGTAATCAATCTTATCATTCCCTGTGGTCACTTTTACAGTATTTTATTTTCATTTTCTATTCATTTTCAAGACCTCAACTTATGATAAGATGCCTATGCCTCCTCCATGAATCAACTCTACCCTGTTGAGACTATCAATCTAAAGATGAGTCTTAGCTTTGTCCAGGACTAAATAAAAAAGCAATGCAAATTATGAAGTGTATGTTATTAAATCATATAGGAGGAAAATATTTTTGAAGTTGGTAATGAAAAAATTTTTAGGAGTGTAGAACACTTTATCTAATTTATCTAAACTTTTGTCTAAGTTTTGGATAATTTAAGGAAAATGATATGCTTTTTTAATTTTAAAATTGAAGTAAGTTCTTCTCAATTGCTTTAGTTTTCATTTACTCCATATGGATGGTAGTTCACAGAAATAAATATTAATAATTATTTTAGGTATTTACTTTTTTATGTATTTAAATAGATTGATTACAACATATTTACCACTGTGGCATTTCAGGCAACTATGTAGTAATTAATTTAATATTCCTGAATTTGGAGGCAGGCTGCAGAGTTTTTTCCAGGTTCAACCACTTAGCTGCTTTATGTCCATTATTTTATCAAATAATCTCTCTGAGCATCAATTTTCTAGTTTAAAAATCAGTAAATTCAATATATAGGTTGTTGTCAAGATTAACACATAAATAATACACCTAAAACATAGTAAAGGCGTAATCACACAAGGTGCTATCAGTTTCAATCTGCTATTGAGTGAGAACAATTCTCTACTGGATTTTACAATTTTATTGAAAAAAGAAATATGTAAATAACTTTTCAGACTGTCTTCACCGATCACTGCTGGGAGCTGATTCTCCCGTGGAAGTGGAGATTCCTCTTTCTAAGGCTAAGGAGTGCCGTTGGAATAATTTAGAGCTCCTGAGCACATGGCAGATGATGAGGCTCAGAGAACCGAATGTCTTAACTGATGCATGCATACCTGTGTTTAGATGGTGCAGCCCTCCCTTCTATGGATGGCCTCTTTTTGTAAAGAAATCTCATGTCAAACTCTCCAAGAATGTGGATTCATTACTCTGTCATAAAATCTTATTGTATTCTGATATACAATGCCATACGAGAAAAAAAGAAGAAGAATCAAATCTTCTGTGGAGTGAGACAGTAAGCACCTAATTTATAATGTTACCTACAATGTCTGTTTCTCCATTGCAACTTTCTACAAACGTGCACGTGAATGTTTTTTTGTGTGTGTGACCCAAATTGTACATGTTCATTGTGCAATGACCACATCTTAGTGACTTTTGTTGAAAGCTACACTATCTCTGTGATCTAAAGCATTGCCAACTTACAAGCACAATTATCCACTGGCATCATATCTTGCTCTCATAATCGTTGCTCCAGCCGGTGAACCAGCCCAAAAAATGGTGTGAAAGGGAAGGGACACTGTGTATAGAATCAGAAGGGCTGAATAAAATCCTTCCTCAAACCAAACTTTGTAAACATTGGGGCCCATTCTACTTAACTCGAATTTGATGACCAGACTACCTTTAGTTTGTAGCACATTGATCACATTGATCATTTTATTGTTCTCATTTATAGTCCACAAATAATGTAAAACTATTGTGTAAGATTGTGGTAGCAGTTAAGTAAATCTAGAGCCAACATATATGCAGTAAAACCACTGTGTTCCTTTCTGTTATTGTTTAAATAACACTCTATTGGGTGAAATAATTTATTTTTATTTTTATTTTCATGTTTTAGAGACAGGGGCTCCCTATGTCGCCCAGGGTGCTCTCAAACTCCTGACCTCAGGTGATCCGCCTGCCTCAGCCTCCCAAAGTGCTAGGATTTCAGGCGTGAGCCACTGTGCCCAGCCAGCCTGAAATGAATTTGAAGTAGTATCAGATAATTAGTTGTGAACTAGGAATCCCAGTTTGGTATAAATCAATAGTTACCAATATTAAGAGTTTTTTTTTTTTTTTTCTCCTAGAGAATCATAACAGACCTGTATCCCATCCATTTTAATTGAATGCCTAATGCTGAGTTTTTTCTAAATAAAACCCCCAGAGTATAAATGTTGTCTATTTTCTAGCAATCCCCATTGTTTGTTACTTTTCTGGCCTAGTGAAAGAAACTTTAATTTCTTGTATAATAATCTCGGTTAAAACCTTTGGGAAACAACCTGAGTTTGACTAAATTTTCCACTTGATCTCATTAATTCATTCTCACTTTTGGTTAGACCAAATTTCACTCCGCATCAAAAATAAATATTTGACTGACTGCCGATAATATGGGGTCATACAAAACTAAATAATTTTGCAGTCAAGTCTGTCATTGGAAACCATAGGCAAGAGCACAAATGGACAAGAAAGTGCAATTACGGGAAGATGATGTGGAGCGGTCAGTTCCCTAAGGGTTCATTACAAGAAACTTTCTCTTCGAGTAGTGATAGTGTAGTCTTCTCAGAAGTCTTAATGAGATCATGGTAGGGAAATAAGTTTCTTAATTTTGGTTCAATACTCTCTCAAACATAAATGAGAACCACTTTTGTTTTAGAGGTTTAAACACAAAGTTGGATCCTTATACACAATCAGTTTGACTATTTGAGAAGAGCTGACTTGTCAAATAAATAAAGTCTCACTAACTTGGTTCTTTCTAGTTTACAGAGGGCAGGCTTGTGGGTGTGAGTGTATGTGTGTGGGTGGGTGTATAAGATATGGGCTTAAGAATTAATTCTTTGTTGTGTGTTCTAATCAAACAATATATTGCTGAATACTTAGAGGCAACAAAAATTTTGGTCTCTTTCAGCACTGCATTACAAATTAATCTCAGAACCAAATACTAATGTTTACTCCAAAAATTTATTTATATGTATATATCTCTTTTTTCACATATATATGCATATACCTACAATATACAATCCATTATATAATACATATATATTTTAAACAAATATAAAATATATGTGTAATATGTATTATATATGCATATAATATATATTATATATGTATAATATATAACCCCTATATATGGGGTATATGTGTAATACACATATAAAACCACTATATATAGGGGTTATGCATATTATATATAAAATATATATTATACATATATATTTGTTGTATATTATATATTATACATATATAAAATCCATTTTGATTATGTTGTTGTTAATGGTGTAAGATGAGGGTCCAATTTCATTGTTCTGCATGTGGATAGGCAGTTACCCCAATACCATTTATTGAAGAGACTGTTCTTTCTTCAATGTGCCTTTTGGTCACCTTTGTGGAAGAACACATATATCGATTTATTTGCAGAGTATCTAATTTGTTTCATTAAACACCATGTCTGTTTTTACCAGCATGATTCTGTTTTCAGTACTATATCTTTTCTTTTTTTCTTTTTCTTTCCTTTTTTTTTTTTTTTTGAGACAGAGTCTTGCTCTGTGGCCCAGGCTGGAGTGCAGTGGTGCGATCTCTGCTCTCTGCAAGCTCTGTCTCCCAGGTTGAAGCTCCTGGGCTCAAGCAATTCTCCTAAGTCAGCCTTCTGAGAACCTAGGACCACAGTCATGCACTACACCTGGCTAATTAATTATTATTATTATTGTAGAGACAGGGTCTCACTATGTTGGTCAGAGGAGTCTCAAACTTCTGGCCTCAAGTGATCCTCCCACTTTTGCCTCCCAAAGTGCAGGGATTATTGCTGTGAGTCACCACATTTAGCCACATTTTCCACTTTTTTGAACAGTTTGAGAAAAATTGTTGTTAGCTCTCCTTTAAATGTTAGGTAGAATTCAGCAGTGAATTCGTTAAGTCCTGGGCTTTTCTTCGTTCCAAGGTTTTTGATTACCAATTCGAACACCTTACTAGTTATCAGTTTCTTCAAATTTTCTATGCCTTATATTTTTATTTTTTTAGAGATGAGGTCTCACTCTGTCACCCAGACTGAAGTATAGTGGTGAGATAGTAACTCACTACAGCCTCAAATTTCTGGGCTCAAGCTATCCTCCCACCTCAGCCTCCCGAGTAGCTGGGACTACAGCTGTGTGTCACCATGCCTGGCTCAGATGTATTTCTTCATGGTTTAGTCTAGTTAGATTGTATGTTTCCTGGAATTTATCCATTTCTTCTATATAATCCAATTTTTTGGCAAATAATTGTTCATCGTAGTCTCTTATTTCTTACCTCCTCTTTTATTTTTCCTCGTTTTCCTGATATTACTCTAAATTTCCTTTTGTTTTATTTGATATAAAGTTGCTAACACTTTTCCCTCAGACATATAATGGGACATCTTTCCTCTTGAATGTTATTCTCTCATCAAAATCATTTATCTTATTAAATGTTACAGAATGTAAAGAAAGTGTGATCTAAAAGCACCAGCTTTTCTCCAACTTAGAATCCCTCTGAAAGGCATATATTCTCAATCAGCAGCACAACCTAAACATCTGTACTGAGGATGGTTATGAAATGCTAAGCTTTCTTCCCAAATTTTTACAATGGTAAATCATTCCTACATACTTGCTCTGCCACTTCTCATCTGGGAAATGTTTACACATTCTTTAACCATTCCATACCACTTCCAAATATAGAGGTATAAATATATGCAGT